AACTCTAAACGCTCTAAAAGAGCACAGAATGTCATGATTTCAGATCTCTGCCTCCTCTGCTCTTTGCCACCTGCACGCGCTCTTGGCCACGCCCACTCCTCCGTGCTACATGGTGAACAGCTGATCAGCTGCAGCAGGAAGTTTATCCTAGAGTATGAGGTGCACAAAGGTGCAGCAGGTGCTAAATAATTTAAAATAACTTATTTTAATAAAAATTACATGCCAATCGTGTGGCTCATCTATCAATCAGCCAATTGTGCGTCATGTCCAATCTTATTTTGAAAAACCGCGATAGAGCGAGTCTGCAATAAACAACCCACGAAGTAGTGAGGGACTACTGGCTGTACCTGTGACTGTAGAGGGTCTATGCAGGTTGTTCCTCCTGCTGTGAAGTTACAGAACACTTTCACAGCATCACAGGGGCAGCCTTGGTTGGGATCCACGTAAAAGTAACCTAAAACGTAATAATGACTGTGTCACTCAGAATGATTTAACCAGTAACAAATTAAAAGACTCTGAATTTAAGCAGACACTCACCATCGCTCAGATGTGGATGTACAAGTTTCAGTTCGTTGCAGGTGGTTCCTGGATCGTCTTTTGTTCCTCGGGGAAAGCCCAAGTGTTCCTCAGCTTCGTCACTTTGAGACCAGCTCTGCTGTATGGATTGTTTGACCAGTGTCTTTATTATTCACATCACCTCTCAAATGAATAAAAAAAAATGTATGCACTCAAAGTAAAAATACCATTATGGTACCAACGTTTTGTTGCCTTTCCATTTTATTCAGGAGGATTGACGTTTGCTCTAAACTCTGCACAGTCTGCAGCCTGTGTCTGGTACTGGTTCGTGTTTTTTGCTTTTGCTCGATTCTCAGACCTGCAGGCTCTGACTTTGAGCCTTTCCGTGAGAACCTGATTGCTCCGGGTGGTCCTGGTTCCCCCTGTGATTAAAATGGATACAAAAACATACAACTTTCTTTCATGATAAAACTCATTCAGCATTTGTTTTTGTTAGTAAAATGTCTCTTACTGGAGGTCCACAGTTGCCTTTATTTCCTTTTGACCCTCTCATGCCTTGGACACCTTTAATCCCCTTTAAAAGCCACACAGTTAAGCAATTAAAAGCAATACTTTCAGTTATTGACACCTTATAAATATAATGGCATAATTAGCTACTGCACTAATATGATGAATAGCAGGTAGACTGCATAAAAATGTTTGTGAAACAAAGCCACATGCAAAAATTTGTAATCAAACTCACCTTCTTTCCAAAGTGACCCTGTAAAAAGAAAAGGTACTTAAATAAGAAAATTAATGAAAAAGCATTAAAGTCAAATGTTCCATTAGGTTTAAAATAAAAAAAAGCTATAACAAGGTAACATACAGTCAATCCAGGGGGACCTTTGTGCCCAGGCAAGCCACGTGGACCAGTTACCCCCTGCAAAGAAATCACTATATTGAATAGCAAATTGCTAAAATACAATTAAAAATATGTTCAGCAAATAAAAAAAGAAAGGCAAAAATCAAACTTACTTGCTTTCCTTTATCACCTGTTTGACCTTTCATTCCCTGCAAAGCTAGTTTCCCCTAAATTCAGACATAGAAATGAGATAAATCCTAAATAAACTTATACCTGAATAATTTTGTAGTTAATATCAAAAAACCTTTATTCCTGGTGGACCAGTTGGTCCCAATATCCCAGTGTCACCTGTCAAGCCCTAAACAATAAAACAGGAAACATCAACACAACTCAGAACATAATTAATCACTTTCATAATTAGGATGTGTTTAGAGCAAAAGTTCTCAACTATGCAAGCAGAAAGCATTAAATTCAATCTAAATTAATTAAAATGATTAAAATTATGTGTGAATTTATCAATTTGGAGGTTAGACTTTTTTTCTCGTTAAAACCATTTTGTGTAAAGTCAGAAACCAGTTTGCACTCTGCTGTACCTGAATGCCCGTTCTTCCAGATTCACCTTTCGCTCCTCTCGGCCCAGGAAGACCCTGAATAAAACATTACAGCTGGTGTTGAAGACGTTCATATGAACAGTGTTCAAGTAATCTCAACAAAACGCACATTCCCCTTAAAAATAAATAAATAAAATTAATAAAACAAGTTTGCCTTTAGCCCAATTGCTGCTGGGGGGCCACGTGTTCCTTTTGGTCCAGTTTCACCCTAAGAAAAAAGAGAGAAAGATAAATACACATTTTCAAACACATAAGATGAGCATATGTGCAATTGCAATGGTCACATGATTTCACTGAAAATACTAAAATATATTATGAATGCCTCATGACACCTTCAATCCTTCTGCTCCAGTGCTTCCTCTTATACCAGGAAGTCCAGGTTTTCCCTAAAATATTAAAATAAACACCAGAATATGTACCACAAAATGTTAATTTTGAATAAGTAAACATTTTTTATTCTTTTTATCACAGGGTTGAAAGTTGCATTTGTCTTACCATCTGCCCAAATCTGCCTGCTGTTCCAGGAGCTCCTTTGAAACCAATATCACCCTTTGCAAAGAGTA